TTGAGCATCCAACTCTTGATTTTTGGCTTGGTCATGATTTCAGGGTCGTGGGATCAAGCCCTGCATCAGGCTCTGTGCTCAGTGGGGAGTCTGCTTAAGATTCTCTCTCTCCCCGCCCTCTGCCCCTGGAAATTATTAAAATGTGTTATATTTTATAATAAAAATATGCAAAGATATTATGAGGGAGGAGTTGAAATGAAATTTATTTCATTACAATAGCTAGTTATTCCTGCACTATTGAAAAGATTTTCCTTTTCTGCACTGAATTGTTTTAGTACCTTTGTTAAAAGTCAATCGACACATGGTCTTGATTAGTTCAAGTGAAGATGTGTGAGTCCTCTGGCTTTGTTTTCCTTTTCCAAGGCTGCTTCAGCTACTCTAGAACCTCTGCACACCCAAAAATAGCAGGTGTCAATTTCCTGTCTCTCAGATCCAGATTCATCCTTCTGCCCCTGCTCCGTTATAACAAATTGGCCTCCTTAGGGGCGCCTGAGTGGCTCAGTCCTTGGGCGTCTGCCTTCGGCTCAGGTCATGATCTCAGGGTCCTGGGATCGAGCCCCACATCGGACTCCCTGCTCCGCGGGAAGCCTGCTTCTACCCCCGCCCACTCCCCCTGCTTGTGTTCCCTCTCTCGCTGTCTCTTTCTCTCTGTCAAATAAATAAAATCTTTAAAAAAAAAAAAAAAAACCCAACAAATTGGCCTCCTTAGGCATTTCTCCTGGAAGGGAGCATATTAATCTTTGTCACTAGAGGGCACTGGAGGGACACTGCGAGAGCCAGAGGTTCGTCTTCCTTTCTCCCTTTGCTATGTTTTGCTTGTTCTTTTCCACTGCACAGCCACCTGCGCCGCAGTCCATGGGTGGGGGACATGCATCAACTGTGATCAACTGTGTGCTCAGAGCACAGTCCCTGGGTGCCCTTGCAGCTTGGGTCAGGTGACCGCCTTTCGCAATCCTCCCAACACATACCTTTCACCCCCACCCCCCAGGCCACCACCTATAGCCATGACCCCCACTCTCTCTGTACACCCTCCAGTCTCCAGCCTCAGCTTGCCCAAGACCTGGGAGCTGTTTCCCACGGCCGTCCTGACTCAAGCACCACTGGTGCTGATCTGATTCCCTTTGCT